GATTTAGCCCTGAGAACATCTGTCTGTCAGATCTTTATCATTTTGTTTTTTTAATCCTCACCCGAGGACACGTTCATTGATCTTTTTTAAAGAGAGGAAGGGAGAGAGAAAGAGAGAGAAACATTACTGTGAGGGAGAAACAGCGATCAGTTAGTTGCCTCCCATATGCTCCGCAACTGGGGATCAAACCACAACTTGGGCATGTGCCCTGACTGGGGATTAAACCCACAGCTTTTTGGCATATGGGATGGCACTTCAACCAGCTGAGCCACCCAGCCAGGGCATCTATGGCATCTTTACAGCCAGGGTCCTCTCCTACTCTGATTGGAGTTAGGTGGCCAACTCTTGGCTTCCTACTGAGCCCAGAGCCTCCAGCCTCACTGCAAGGCTCATGGCCAGAGTGCGGGGTTGGGGGGTGCTGTCTGGTGGTAGTGAAGGGTCTGCCTGGAGTCTGCAGGGGTGTAGGCAGGGGAACAGCACGTGCAGAAGCAAGCGCGGAGCACGGGCCCCGCAGCAAGTGAGGTTTGCCGGGGAAATGCCGGATCCAGATGGAAAAAGAAGCAGGCAGAAGATCAGGTCACTGAGGCCAGGAGTTTGAACTTTATCCTGGGTGCAGGGCTAGACAGGAAAGGTCTCCAGCAGGTCAAAGTATCAGAAAGCCCCTCTGACTACAGTGCGGAGTACAGGTTAGACGGGATGAGACCAGAGGGAGAGAAGGCTCAATTTTAATCCTCAGGACTGCCCAAGAAGCTAGGTTAGCATTAGTCTCCTCATTTGTAAGATGAGGAAACCGAGGCCTCAGAAGTAGGTGGTTTGCCTGAAGCCACTTGCTAGACACTGGCAGCGCTGGGGATCACACCTGGCTCAGCCTGTTTGCAGAGCATGTGCTCTCATCTACCCTGCTAGTGGGGAGGCAGGAGAGAGTGAGTGTGTGTGCGCGCTCCTGCCCGCCCAGCTGGCCCGCTGCCGGGATCCCTGCCCTGAGACAGGGTGAGGGGTGCGGCTGTCCCCCCGGCCTTACCCACACCCTCACCGGGCCTGACTGGTTCTGCCTGGAGCCACTGGCTAGGGCTGCTTGGGCACCAGCTTGTAAACTCTGATCCAATACTGCAGGCGCCGTGCCAGGACCGCCCACCCAGCAGGCAGTGTCCCAGCCCAGTGGCCACAGATGGGAGATTAGGCAGACCCTCAGCCGTCTACCGGGTGGGAACTGTAGGCAGCTGGCACAACAGCCATGAGCTGGCAGACTCCTCCAGGTCACAGGGTGGGGGTGGGGATGTGACCTTGGTACCCAGGCCTTTGGGGTCTTGCCAGTTTTTTTCAGCTGCCCTAGCCCCCAGAAGAGTTTGGGTCTGTCCCACCAGCCTCCTTCACCCTGGGGTCAGCCTCTCTGCAAAAGCCAGTGGCTTCCCCCATAGATAGGAACTGCACAAAAGCCAGTGGCTTCCCCCATAGATAGGAACCCCACTGGCTGGAGCAGGCCTGCGGATTGGGGCACAGCTAGATAGCTGAGTACGGGGAAGGAGGTAGCAGGAGATAGTGCTAGAAGGACTGAACAGTACCCCCAAGCCATGGAAGGACTGGCCGCTGTGTCTGCCCCTCTGTGATTCCCGGGGATCCGCTGTGCTCTATGGCCCACTCTCCCCTTCCAGCTTCTTACTCCCTAACCTGTCCTAGCCTTTTGTTTCCTGTGGCCCCAGTCATCACCTCAGGCCTTTCTCTGAGCCTGGCTTGCCCAGTGCTGCTGGCCAGGATGAGCCTGGGCTGCTGACTCCTAGGTCTCATCTCACCTCCTGCCTTGGGGTAGCAGAGCTGGTGGCCCAAGCCAGCTGGCAGTGGGCGCAAAGGTCTCTGTACCTGGAGGGGAGACCTCGGCATGGAAAGTTTTCCCAGCCCTCACCCCCAAAATAGCCTCTAGCCTGTGAAGCCTGAGTCTCTGTGACCATGCCACCAGATGGGGCCCAGGAGGATCTGAGTGAAGGGAGCGCTCCAGGGAGGCTGCAGACCGTCCCCTCTTCCTTGACATAGGGAGGCATGGGGAAGGAAGCCTGTGCCTGGCTGCCTGTAAGAGTGAGTGCTGGGAGGGACCTGGGGCCTGGACTGACCTATCTTTTTCTCATGCCCAGCAGATCCAATTTGCCTGGGCAGGAAGCGCATGTGCCCGCCGGCAGCCAGCATGGCTGGCCATTGCTCTGCAGGGCTGACGTCCACGCAGGCAATAGCCATCCCTCAGTGGGAACCGGGCTGACAATTTGGTTTCTACTGTGTGATGCCTGGGGAGAGGGGAGGAGGAGAAAGTTCTGTAAGGTGGGGCGCCAAGCCAGACCGGGGCCCCGCGCCCAGGCCATCCCTCTGAACGCTCAGGAGTAACCTTCTCTCGCCAGCCCGTTGGCGTATGGTTTTCTGAGGCTGAAGAGGGAAGATCTGAGGGAAAGGCAGGCAGAACAGGGGGGAAAGACAGTGTCTGTCTGAGCCTGGCCTTCTGTGCAACGAGGGTGAGGGGGGAGCTGCAGCATGAAGCCGACTGTCGGCCAGAAATTGCTGTCATTCCTGGGTTGGGGGACAAGGCTGTCACTGCTTGACTGGTTAACAGTTGGAGTTTGTGGCTGTTTCATGGGCTCTTACATGGGGGCTGCCCTGGCCAATACGTGCGTGTGATGTTTGGACTCACCACGAAAGGGACCGGATTGGAGGGGGGGACTATGAGTAGGAGGCCTGGCAAGCCTCTGAGAGCCTCCCTGCTTGACCTGAGCAAGCCCCATGCTCCGCACAGGCCTACCTGGAGTCCTTCTACAAGTTCTGCACTCTACTGGGCGGGACCACGGCCGATGCCATGTGCCCCATCCTGGAGGTGAGTGCCTGCCCCTCTCCCCCCGACCTGCTGGACCCCCGGGGAAAATAGGCCTAGAGGAAGCCCTGCCAACTGACTGGCTACTGCCTTCCTCCCTCCTCTCTCTCCTCGCTGGTGCTATGGCCCTACAGTTTGAAGCAGACCGCCGCGCCTTCATTATCACGATCAATTCCTTCGGCACAGAGCTGTCCAAGGAGGACCGGGCCAAGCTCTTCCCACACTGCGGGCGGCTGTACCCGGAGGGCCTGGCCCAGCTAGCTCGGGCTGATGACTACGAGCAGGTTAAGAACGTGGCTGACTACTACCCGGTGAGCGCTCTTGCTACAGGGCCAAGGGGCGGGCATATCGGTACTTGAATTTCCACTCCACACCCAACAGCCCCCTCATGCTTATGCTTCCCACCATTCCCCTGGGCCAGGAGTACAAGCTGCTTTTCGAGGGCGCCGGCAGTAACCCTGGAGACAAGACCCTGGAGGACCGATTCTTTGAGCATGAGGTGGGTGCCAGGTCTGCCCGTCACAGGGAGGGGTTGGTGGCTTAGGCCTGACTTCTGTGCTTGTGGCCATCTGCACACCAAGTCTGCCTTTGTCCTCAGGTGAAACTGAACAAGTTGGCCTTCCTGAACCAGTTCCACTTTGGTGTCTTCTACGCCTTTGTGAAGCTCAAGGAACAGGAGTGTCGCAACATTGTGTGGATTGCTGAGTGCATTGCCCAGCGCCACCGTGCCAAGATCGACAACTACATCCCCATCTTCTAGTGCTCTGTCCTAAGGCTCCCCACAAGTGTGTGTCTGTGTGTGCTGGGACCAAGGCCACAGCTCACGTGTCTGCCCTGGGGGCAGCACATTGACCTGGCCGCTGCCCTGCTTCCCAGCTCTTCTGAGACTGCTCTTGGGCCTGAAAGGGGCTGGGTACCTGCTCCCCCCAAGGATAGACCAAGCCCCACTCCAGATCAAGGAGGCCCCTCAGCCCTGTTACAGCCACTGATATGTCTAAGAAGCATGTGGTCACTTTTGTGCCCCTTCCTAACCTGAGAAGAACTCTCCCGCCTGTGGGCCATCCCCTGAGCCACGGGGAGGCAGTGTGTGTGTGTGACCTCGGGGCACGGGGAAGTAGCTGTGCATATTCTTCCCTCGGCACTGCTCCTCTGAACAATAAACTGCCCTCTCTAAGCCCAGCTGTCTGCTGTCTCCTGTGAACCCTAGTTCCTTTCCCTGGCCCCCCAGCTCTCCTGGGGCGCACCCTTACGGAGTCCGCCACTGCCTTGTCTAAGCCTTGTGCCTCTTTCAGTCAGCCACAGTGGGCGGCCCCAGGCGGACAGGGGGTCCCGGAGGACAGCCCCTTCCTCTGTTGGAGGCTGGGTCGTGGCCCCGGAGAGCCCTGGGCCTCCCCATTTGCTCCGCTGAGCACTGCCATTCCCCAGGCCAGGGGTAGCACCTCTGTTTCACAATGAGGAGCCCAAACGTATGGATAAACGATCTGCCCGAGGTCCATTAAGTGGGTATCTGTGAACCAGAGTCTGTGTTCAGAGCTCCGGCCCCCACGCTAGGCCCCAGGGGTCCCCCGGGCGCAGTTCCCAGTATGTCGCATGACCACAGCCTTCTTATCCCCTCCAAACTCAGTGTCTACCCCATTCTAGGAGAAATTAAAATGTCTTTATTTTTAAAACGGCAGTCAGGCCAAGTAGGGTGTGCAGCCTCCCTGTGGCTTGAGGTGGGTGGTTGGGGCCCTAATTCTTGAGCCAGTCAAGAAATAGTTGGGATTCACCCTTTGAATCACAGCACTGAGGCACTGGTGCTGAGAAATAATCCTGAGGGGGTCCCCAACCTACCCTGTCACTTCTGAGTTTGCAGAGGCACTGACTGTGGGATCCTATCAAAGGCTGCAGCTGTGTCTCACACTAAACTCCCCATCCAGCTGAGTTCTCTAAACTACAGGGTGGAGCCTTGTGCCCTGGAGAGTCTGTTTGGGCTTGTGAAGCAGAAGAAAGGCCCAGAGGTTTGCTGGGAAGACTCAGCTTCACCAGGCCTGACCTGGGGCATCGGCAGTGGTTGGGGTTGAGGGTCCTTTAGGCCAGGCTCTGGGGCAGATTTTGGGGTCTCAGTGCCCAGGGGAGGGCCAAAGGCTCATGGGCCCTCCTCTGTTGGAACAGCTAGGCCGTATGTGCACACAGCTCATTGGGCCACCGGCGGGGAAGGGCCTGGGTTTGGGTCTGGCTCTTGGGCTTCATCGTGGGTGGGGGTAGAACCCGGCTTGCCAGGCCGTAGGGCTCTTGGCAGACAGGGACTGATGAAGAAGGCTTGCAGGAAGCGGCGCCGTACGCCTTCGGGCATGTAGTAGTGGATGAAGTACATGAGCCCCACGCCACGGCCCGGGTAATAGCGGCGCTGTGGGTGAGCGGCCAGCAGTGCATCGACGATGGCATCCACAACGGGGCTGAGGTCGGGCATTGCCAGGCTCAGCGAATGCAGGAACTGCCCGTGCAGGTGCTCGATGTAATCTTCGCCATAGGCCTGCAGCAGCTCTTGCGGCAGGTTGGCGAGCAGCAGCTGTTTGCGCCGCTCCCAGTTGTTCACATTTTTAACTGACTCTGGGGGGAAAGTGGTAAGATCAGTTTGGAGTCAGGGAAGCCAAAGACGCAGGCCTCCCTCACCAGTGACCACCCTCCTGCCAAAGGCATGCCCTGTCCCCACCCCCAGAAGACCATAGCCACCCCTCTTTTCCAGCAGCAGGCCTCCCGTGCCACCCAACTCTGATCTTCACCTGTCTTGAAGCAGCCAGGCTGGATGACGCTGACCTTGACCCCCCATGGCAGAAGTTCACAGCTGAATATGTCCATGAGCAGCACCATGGCTGCCTTGGAAGTCCCATAGGCCCCCAAGCATGGGTATGGCATGTCTCCTGGGGACAGATTGGGGTGGGGCAGCTCAGCCTGGGCCTGGGGCTCCAGCGTCCCTCCCCACCAGTGGCTGCAGCGTGGGCGTGCACTTACCTGCCGGGCTGCCCAGGGTCACAATCCGACCCCCAGAACGGCGCAAAAGTGGCAAGAGGCCCTTGGTCAGCTGCAGCGTGCCGAAGAAGTTCACCTCCATGCAGTTGCGGAATGTAGCCACTGGAGACAGCTCTGCATCGGCCACGACATCATTGAAGCCCGCATTGTTGACCAGGCCCCACAAGCCTGAGGAGGTGCAGAAGGGAGGAAAGCTCTGGGTCGCCTCGCAGCAAACCCGCAGTCACTGCCCCTTCACACCCACCCAGCCACCCCTCTCCCCAAGGAGCCACGCCCACCGACCTGTGCGCTCCACTGACCTGTGCTGGCGGTGTGAGCCCTGGTGAACTCCAGTGCCTGACTAATATCAGCTGGTTTGCTCAGGTCCATCTGCAGCAGCTTTAGGTGAGGGGAACAGCAGGCACGCAGCTCTAGGGCCCCAGGGCTATCCAAGTCCAACACAGTGGCCAGCACTGTGAAGCCCATGGCATCTAGCTTCTTGGCCGCCTCCTTGCCAAAACCAGAGTCACAGCCTGGCCAGGGCAGAGTAGCAGGTGAACTCCCACTGTGGCGTGGCCCAGCCCAGCCCGAGACAACCCCAGGACCACCAGGGTCCAGACAGGCCCCAGGCCCCTGGTGACCCAACCTCCCGGCAGCCAGCAGCCCGCCCTCCTCCTCCGGCTGCGTTCCCTGGCTGAGCACCTGCGCCTCGCTCTTTCACAGCTGTCATCTCTGACTCCTGATTGCAACCCCGTTAAACCTGGCTCGTGAGCCCCACTTTACAGACGAGGTGACCGAAATCTGGTAATGCTAAGGTGCTTCCCCAGGTCACTCGGCCAGCAAAGAGAAAGGTGAGGACTCTATCCCAGGTCAGCCTGGGACCCAGTCCCAGCTCTAATGTCCTTCCGCCCGCTTGACATCAAGCTTCAGCTCAAATGCTCAGGGTTACTGCACAGCCTCCCTTCCTTTCTCGCTCTTCTTGCCCAGGCTTCTTCCTCCTAATAGAACACTGAGGCGGCCCCCTCTTCGGTCCTGTCCCATCTAAATCCCTTGAATGCATTCTCTACCTAAACAGCTACAGTGATCTTCCTAAAAATGACAATATAACGGCTGCTGAAAACCTTCCCAGGGCTCCACAGTGTGTGGGCTGAAGCCCGCGCCTCTGCTCCCATCCTCAAGGCCCTGCCCAACCTGAACGAGCCTGCCTTCCCAACTGCGCGAAGCCCCTACTGTAGTTCCGCCCTCTAGGCAAGCAGGAGGCCCATCTCCACCTCACCCCGCCCCCACCCTTGGAATTTCAATCAGTGGCAACAGCAGGGCATTCTCTGAGCTCCAGACCACTTGCCCCCAGGACAGGGACAATGATGGATGGAGAACAGACCTGCATTTTAATCCCTCCCCACACCCACCAAGTGTGACCTGAGGTCAGTTATCACTCTTGAAGGCTTAACTTTCTGTCTTTGGTATGTAGAGAGAAACCACCAGGCAGAGCCAGAGTTGGGGTCCGATAAGCCCCTGCTTCCTTGATTGTTCCCATTTTGGTTCTATGGGCAGAGCCTCCTCCCTCACTGGCCTTCCCCGGGAGCAGAAGCTGCAAAACTGCTCTGCTTTCCCACCCCTGGATGGCTCTGCACCCGGTCCCTGCAGTGAGGCAGACAGCACAGCTGGGCAGGGGGCTCTGAGCCGGGCTTTGTGTTGCTGGGGGCCTGCCAGCCAGCCCAGGCTGTGGGGGCGGGGGAGGGGTGCGTCCTGGGCAAGTCTAGCTGAGGCAGGGGAGTGAGCATGTGTGTATCCACTTGCCTAAGAACCAGCCCCCCCCCCCCCCGCCCCACCTCAGAGCAGGCAAGGCCCTTCACAAGGAAACTGAGTTGTCCCGAGCCTTAATTTTGCTGTCCCAGCTCAGCGAACTACGCCTTATATCACCTTTTACTCACCTGCACACACAGCCCTGCACACACCTCCAAGCTACCTGCTGTGAGCCGTGAACAACACAGTGGCTCACTCCCATGAGACCCCTGCTGCTCACCAGTGCACAGATGTGCATCCAGCCACTCCACCCAAACCCTGATCCCAGGGCTGAGCTTTGGGAGTAGCCTCGGCCCGTGCTTCTCAGGGAGGGGTGGGTGGCAGCTCTGACAGGTGGGACAGGGTCTGGTCACCTCCTTGTCTCACAGTCAGGAGGTGAGGGACCTCCAGAGTTCTCAGGCATTGGGAAAACTGGAGGCTTATACCTGATGTTTAGACGGGCTGGGCTGGGCAGTCCCCTTCCCCTCCCCGATTGTGGGGTTTTGCACCCAGAGAAGGGGGAGCCCAGGTCACGGAAGGCATCCCTCCTCTCACCTCCCTCTCCAACTCAAGGCTACAAATAAGTAATACCGAAGCCTAAGCTGAGATCCCAGGAAAGACACCAGTACTTGCAGGTGGCCTCGGTCCTATGGAGGCAGCTCAAAATTTAGAAGGCAGGATGGGAACTCTGGGGATAGATTACAATCTAGTCGCTGCTTCATACCAGGATGGTCCATCATCTTTCTTCCTCAAACCCATGAATCTGGGGTCCCCAAAGGCTTTGTGCTGTGCCCTGAACGCCGGTCTCTCCCATCTAGCCCAAGCCCTGCTCTCTCCACTCTCTTTGCTTGAAGCCCAAAGCCCTTGTGCCATGTTCACCCCGCCCCAGAACAGTCTGGCTTCTCGCTCAGTGTTCAAGGCCCCACCTGAGGAAATAACCTCACATCCCACCACATCCCAGTAGCCAGACTGATTACTGATTGTCCCTTATTCAAACCTTGCTCGTTCCTGCCTCAAGCCTTTGTTCCACACCCTTTGTCTTATACAACACACCTTCCATACTCCACCTATCTCCACCCATCCTCTGAGGCCCAGCTCAAGGGATGGCCTCCTCTGGGAAGTTCTCTGAGCTCCATCTGATCATGCGGGGCCCCCTAGTGGACCCTGACCTCTGAGGAACCAGTCGGGTGGCTGCCCCCAGCCCAAGCCCAATGCAAAGGCAGGGCCCTGAGCACCTGTCCAAAGCTGCTGGGGTTGGGGGAGAGACTAGGCTGCCCTCCCCCCATACAATGGAGCCAATGCCCCCTGGCCCTTCTCCCCCTCCCCACTTCCAGCTGGGCCTCAGTGACCTTTTCCCTTCCCTCAACCTGGCGACAGATTTATTCCCTGCTCCAGACAAAGGAAGCTCAGCCAGGCGGCCAGAGGCACCTGAGCCCACCTCTCTAAGGCCTCCTTCCTGGGCAGAGGACAGGGAGGAATGGGGAAAAGGTGCAGACTCTGGACTCTCCCTCAGCAGTTTGGGCGAGGGGGCTAAGCGGATCTGAGAGGCAGCTGAATGCCCAGCTGTTTCTTATGGCGACCTCAAGCTTTTCTGGACTCTAAGGATCCCAGCCAATTGGGTGGTGAGGGTCTCAACTACCCATCTAAGCACCTTTCTCTGGCTCCAGGGAAGAGATGGACCATCCCACGTGGGGATGTTAAACAGAGTTGGAAGGGTGACCACCCTCTTAAATCCCTCAGAGATTGTTCTCTTGGGGAGGGGCATAGCATAAACCCCAAACTCCAGGACACTCCATCTTTCTCAGCCACCAGTTTCCCCTGAGCACCTGCCCACTCCCTGCCTCATTTCCCCTCCAACACTCCCCGCAGCGGCATATAGTTAACCCAAGCTTGGGAAAGTGTCTCCTTTCCTACTTGGTTCGCTCCCTGCACCCAGGAGAAGGAGACTCTCCTACTTCTGCACTGGGGGGCCCGCCTTGCCTTGGTGTGCCCATGGGAGCCCTCTGGGTGTCCGGTCCCGTCCTAGAGCGTGGAGTCCCCGCGCTCCGCGCACTCACCGGTGATGAGCACCGTGCGAGTGGCCACGGGCAGGCGTGGCGGGCGCGCCAGGCAGGACAACGCGATCCAGCCGGCGGCGGCCAGCAAGGCGAGTGCAGCCAGCGGGGGCAGCAGGCGCTGGCACAGCCAGTCGAGGGCAGCCAACAGCGCCAGCGCCGCCAACAGCGGGCGGCCCAGACGCAGGTCTGCGCGCAGTAGCTGCAGCAGCGCACGGGCCGCCACGAGCAGCCAGGCGCCGCCCGACGGCCAAGGCCATTGCTCCATCGCTGCGGGCCGGGGCGGTGTCTGGGCTGGGGGTCGGGGAGAGGAACTCGGGGCCGGGGCGAGGAGTGCGCGGTGCAGCAGAAAATCAGCGAAAGATGGGTGGGATACTCGCTTTCTCGGTTTGCCCTCGGGCCGATCTTATAAAGAGACCCGGGGGCGGGGAGAAGGCGGAGCGGAGGCGGGGAGGGGGCGTGGTTTTCCTCCCTCGGTCCTGGCCCCCCGTGCGGGGCAGGTGCCCCCGCCTCCGCCCCGCCCCCGCACACAGAACTGCTTTCGAAGAAGCCGGAACAAAGTCCCCAAGTTGCGGCTAGAGGAGACGACGCCTTGTGGCGGGCTGCGCCAGGGAGCGGGCCAGTCCGTCTAGCCCTCGTGGTCCGCATCCGCTCACCTCTGCGCCTCCACACACACTCCTCGGCTTCTGAGCCGCCGCTCCCAGCTGAACACAGCCAGCTCACACTCGCTTGGGACAACTGAGGACATGCACAACCTCCCCGCCAGCGCCCTACACTGACAGCTTGCCGCGGCTCCCAGGCCTGCCGGAACACCGCGGGGCACCAGCCCGCTCTTCCCGGCAGAGCCGCCGCCGGCACACGCGCCGCACTCCCACGGCGTCCGCGGCCGCAGGGCCATCGCAAACACGCCCTGACGCGCACTCACACCTAAGCTTCCTGGGGCCACAAAACCGGCTTGGGGCGGAGGCTGGAGGAAGCAGAACGGCCAACCGGGTTCTTGGGCCGGGTTCTTGGCAGTCTTTGACCTGCCTTCCCCTTCCCAGCCCTGGGGATGCACCAGCTCCACCTCCTCCTGCCACACAAGTTTATGTGTGTGTGGGTGCTCGTGGGAGACAAAATAGGAGTCACAGCAACTGTCTAGGCTTCCCATTACTCCCAGCGCAGACTCCTACCCCAGGGACTCCAAGAGCCAGGCCAATGGGGATACCTGGAGAGTCAGTGAGGGCAGCCTCTAGGGCAGGGTGGTGCCTGCCCTGTTTCCACGATTCTCCAGGGGATAAAATAAGTGATGTGAGTGTGGGTGCATTTCCCTCCCTGTGTGTATGAAGGTTTGTGCTTGTGTGTGGCCTGGCGGCCCCCCACCCTGCCCACCCCCGTGTCTGGCACCTTGTGCTTAGCATTCATGCCAGGGCTCTGCCAGGCAGTAGGAGTTGCCAGTATCTGGCTGCCAGGCCCTATGCTGAGGGCAGTAGGTGCAGCCTATGGGAAAGGGGCTCCCTGCTTACTGTGGGCTTCTGGACCTTGCTCAGCGTGTCTCATCCATACCCAAACTATGTCCTAGAAGGTCATGGACCCCTCCCAACTCTGTTCCTCATTCTGTATTTTAGGTGCCCAGGTTCTGCCAGGGCTTCAAAGCAATGCTTCCACCAAAGCCTTCTCTGCCACCCAGGCATGGCCACCTGGTGGGCCAGGGGATTTTCAGGGACTGGGAGCCAGACCTACCTAAGGGGACAGGCTTTGGGAGGAGGATCCATTTCCTTCCCAGAACACTTCTGTGCCCCAATCTATTCCTCCCATATGTACAGATGGCGACTAGCCCTGGCCTTGGAAGGCAGGACTTCCTTGGAGAGGGTGTGTGTGTGTGCCTGACCTTGGTACATGACCTTGCGTGCCTGTGTTTATATACATTCATGTCCAGGGGCTCCATGGCTTGTCTATACATATATGCAATGTTTCTCCCTGTGCCATAATTCTGGCCTTTCAGTGTACGCATGCGTGCATGCGTGTGTGTGTGTGTGTGTGTGTGTGTTTCCAGTAACTCTTCCTTGGTCCAGGTCATCCTTTGGAAACTCAAGGAAACATTTCTTTTTCAAAACCTGGTGCCTCCTGTTACCCTGAATCTATGGCTCAGACCCAGACGTAGGCACAGCACCCTTGGTCTGGCTCCCAGATCTGAGCTGTACACTCTGGGTTGGTGGGACCCCCGCCCCTCTCCAGCTCTGGTCTCCTTACATACAGTCTGGCTGTGGTCTCTCCAGCTCAGTCCATTAAAGGCTTCCCTTTGGGGCTGGGGAGAGGCTGGGGAGGAGAAGGTGAGGTGGAGATCCCAGGCAGCTTTCGAGGCCAAGGCTACATAGGTAATATCAGCGTTTGCCAAGAACAGGTGTTGAAGGGTAGGGAGGTAGAAGTGGGAAAGCAAGGTGAGAACAGAGAGCAAGAAACAGGATCCTACACAGTCCTAGGAAGGAACCATAAAAGATTCTGACTCATTGGGATGCCTGCAATGGGGAGAAAGACCTACTGAGAGGGGGTGTAGGGAAATGTCTTTCGCTGCAAAGCATAGGATGGCTAGGGTGGGGAGCAGGTGTTTCCATTTCAGCTTCTGAGACACTGCCACCTTGGACAGAACCATGAGTCTGTGACATTTGGGTCTTACAGGACTAGATGATGTGCACATTTACACACACACGTGCGCGCGCACGTGCGTGCGTGCACACACACTCTCCTGACACACTTCTTCCCCACCTCTAGGCCAGAAGGCCATGCCTCCTTCCTAGGATCTGCACTTCAGCCCCCTGTGACCTCCTCAAGGGGTAAGCTGACCACTTACCCCTCGTCAAGTGTGTGATGTTCTGGAAGTAGAAGAAAGGTAGTTCAGGCAGTCATGGCTGGGAGTGGCTGGCCCAGCCCTGTCTGAGGCCTGGTGCCAGGTTGTTCCTGCCCAGGGGCAGAGAACCAACCTCTGCCAGACCCAGGAGTCTAGGTTGGCAGGGGCCTCTAGGGAACAGAAGGGAAGGGGGGCAGTAGCCCCAGCAGATAAGGCAGGGCCTGGCAGCGACAAAGGAATGAAGGGCAACCAGAAGGAGCAGAGCCCCTGAGCCACTCCACCCCAAAGCCCTCAGCCCATAGCCTCCCTTCATGCTTAGTCCTTCCCGCTGATCAGATACCAGGCTCTGGAGGGCCACAGAGTGTCTGGCCGGAGAGCCCCCCGGCTCAGGTCGGCTGCCGCTGAGTGCAGCAGCTCACTGGCGCCATCTGCTGGTTTTGGGGGGAGGGCGTGGCTCTACAGGGGATAAAGCCAAGGTGACAGCTGCATCTGAGAATGGCGGGGTGCGGGGGCGGGCAAAAGTGCCGGGTTCGGGGTGCCAAGTGACAGTCTTCAAGAGCTCAGGCTCTGTCCCCTGACTAGACATAGGGTTCCTGAGGTCAAACACTCCCTTATCATCTCTTCCTCCCTCTCTAGCCCTGCTCAGAGGAGGCAGCAGAGTCCCTGGGAGGCCCTGCCCTGCACTCTGCTCACCCCTGGGACCGCATTACCCCTTCCTCCTGGCACAAAGGCAGAGGGGCCCCAATGACTAGTCCCTCCACCTGGGTTCTGAATCCCAGCCTCGAAGGAAGCGCACTTTTACTGAGTCCCTGCTGCATGCTAGGCCTTGTGCTGGGCACTGTAGGTATAAACACCAACTGCTGGTCCCTTTCCCAGTAGCATGCATGTGGCTTCTGGCCTCTCCCTCTGGTGACCACAGTAAAGGACTTCTTTCACCTTAGCCCTCTGTCCCTTTCCTTAAGCATTGCTCTCCTGCACTCCCTCCCCCATTCTCAGCCACAGTTCTCTAATACTGTCTACAGTCCCTGTTGTCACCCTCCCCTCCTGCAGTCTAGCTCGGAGCCAGCTTCCCTTCCTGACCTCACCAAAGGTCACCAGTGAATAACAGTTTAGTCCCCCAAATACTCGATGCACATCTCCGTTTCCAGTGAACCTGGCTTCCTTGAAGCCTCTACCCTGTGGCCAGTCCTCACACCCCAGCCCCCTCCTTCCTTGGGTACCTGTGAAGCCACCTCTGCGGGTAGCCCCCTGGCCCTTTGGCTCCCCTTCTGGAGCTTTGCCTTCTTTGGGTGAACCTCTGGCTGTGGAGACCCCTCCCCCAGCATGAGCTCATCATCCTACTCACATGCTGGTGACTCCCATGCTCCTTTCCAGCCAAAGCCTCGCTCTTGACTCCAGGCCCACATGTCCAGCTGCCCCGGACGCCTCCCTTGGACACCCGTGGGCCCCTTACACTCAGCATGCCGCAGACGGTCTCATCATCCTCCCTCGTTCTGACAGCCACCCACCCCCTACCTCATCCTCACTCTTCATCCCACGAGCCGGCCCCCAGACCTCTAGCTCTGGCCCCAGCCCTTGTGTGGTGCAGAGGCCTCACACTGGCCCTTCGCAGTAGGTAGAATTGTTACTATTTTACATTCAAGGAAACTGAGGCTTCCAGAGGGCTAAGGAAATTGTTCAAGGTCTCAAACTCAGGTACACTTGAGTTTGAATCTTCAACCAGCCCCAAGATTCAAAATCAGATGTCCCTGAGTCCAAAGGCTGGGCTCTTGAGAACTGGGTTAATGCAGGGCCATGGTTGCAGGGCCTCTTAGACTTCATTAGGAGGGAAAGGAAAGCTGGTGATGGCCTTGAGCAAATGAGCCCCCTGTTCTGGTTGGCCAGGAAATGGATTTGCAGGCAGGGGAAGAGTGGAAGCTGGGAGTCCTGTCGCTGCATGCAGACAAGCGACGGAAGCAGAGCCCGAGATGCCTGGGTTCATGCAGGGGTTGAGCCCAGAGGTAGCTGGATGCCTGTGGACCCTGGCACTTCAGTTACGTGGCCCGGGAGCCTGGGAGATAGCTGGCTCACCTCCTTGTGCCCTGGGCACGAACTGAACCGCCTCCCCACTTTCTGAGGTACCCCATCTAGGCTGTGCATCTAGAGATCAGGCTCTCGGGTTACCTGGGAGAGGGGAAAGAGAGATGCAGAAGCATCCCTGCGTTTTCAAACGGTGTCTGGCACCCTCCTCGGAGCTTTCATTTTGCCTTTCAGGATTGAAGACAGGTATATGGAGATTAGGGCCCTCAAGATTGGGAAACACTAAGACAATGTGTCCTAAAGGGTTTTCTGGACCAGTTCCAGGGGAAAGGCAAGTCCCAGCTGGGAACACTTGCAGGGAGAGCTCCGCTGACTCCAGGTGAAACCGGCCTTCTTGGAACCTGCTGTGTGGCTTTGAGCTC